ACAAGCCCCCACGAAGCTCTTGCTGTCATAATGGTCTCTTACATCAGTTCAATACTTAATTTCATTTGTGTCTCAAAACGACTTTGGGCACAGTGAGAAAGGCTCCCAGGCCAGCAACTTGCACAAGGCTCCTGGGATTAAAACCACAGCCAGGTTGCAATCGAGTTTTGTTGCTCTAGATCCAATCTCTCTTCCTACCTCTCTCTTACTCATGAAACCAGTGTGGCTTATCCAATCAGGCCAGAACCCAGGCAGGAGTGTCAGTTAAGAGAAGATTTTCAGTCAGGAGAGCTGGCCTTACAGGGACAGGCAAAAAGCTGAGAGCCTAAGATACTGGGTTTGACTTGAGGTACAAGATGGGTTTAGAAACATCCAGATGGAGGGGCCAGCAAGATGACTCAGAGGGTTAGAACATTTGCTGCCAAGCCTACAGCCTGAATCCTATCCCCAAGACACACACGATAAAAAAAGAGAACAGGCTCCCTAGCACATGTATGCATGCGTGCACACGCGCGCATGCACACACACACACACACACAATAGATAAAATGTAACACAGACTGATGAGCAATGGAATAATGTATTACAGGGAACAAGAAGAGAAGAAAGAAACATCCAGATGGAGGAAGAAAGAAACAAGAGAGTGCCTGCCTCTCAATACATCGCCGCCAAAGCACCTGCGGGGACAAGGCAGGCTGGCTCTGGCAACACAGCCCACTCGACTGCAGAATATTCAAACCAGTGAAGACTCAAGAGGCACTTTAGAGTGGAACCAGAATTTCCACTCTGTGGGCTGGATTAGCTTTGCAACCACATTCCCTTCTGGCCTCCCTAAAAACTGGCTCGCACAGCACAGTTCCACGGCTCTGTCCTGCCTGCCCGCTGAGCACAAGGTTCTGCACCAGGCTTTGAGAGAGATCAGAACATGAAGATAGCTTGGTTCCTCTAGTCGGTAGGGCAAGGCAACAAGAATGATGCTCCTGGGTTTCAGTCATTCATTCATTCAACAATAGCACTAAGGGCCTACTGTGTGCCAGGCACAATTCTAGCTACTTGGGGTACAGAGGCGAACAAAGCCTTTACGTTTGAGTGATAAGAGACAGACAATAAACAATGTGTACTGTATATGTAAGATGCTGAATGTTAGGTGCTAAGGACAGACACAAAGCCACATTAACAAAGGGGCAGTGATGTCAATGCATGGAGGGTGGTCAGGGAGCTGGCATTTAAACAGACAATGGAATAATCAATGGAGTAAGCTAGGCAGGCATCTGGGGGAGGCCCAGGGCCAGGGAGCAGATGCAAATGCCCTGTAGCATGAGTAAGCCTAACAAACAAAAAAGGATCAATGGATAAGAGGGAAAGAGCCCACCTCAGCTGGGATCATCAAAGATGGACACCAGGACTTACTTGGGCCAAGGTAACACGGAAACAGCCAAAAACAAACCAGGCAGGGAACGGTTTGCCTAGAGCCTGGGCAGCCTGGTGGGATTACGCTTTGGGAGGGGGATCTGTGGAAACCAGGCCAAGAATGTGGGTGTGGAGTGGGCACTGGGGAGCCATTAACAGCTTAAGAAAGGGAGACAGATTGCCATTGATCCAACCTACCAAGGGTTAGCCTCAAAGTCCAACCCTGGGAAACTTTGGGACCAGCACAGAAAGCATAATCCAAGGACAGAGAGCTGGCTCGGTGAGTAAAAATGCTTGCCACCAAGCCTAATGACCATGAGTTCGATCTTCTGAACCCACACGGTAAAAGGAAAGAACCGACTCCTGCAGGTTGTCCTCTAATCTACACACATACACACATACTGTATGGCATGCAAGTTCCCAAACACAGACACACACACACACACACACACACACACACACACACACACACACACAATAAACATTTCGTTTTGTTTTGTTTTTAATGTTTTTTTAAAAAAGGAAAGCACAGCCAGGCATGGTGGTACAGACCTTTAATCTCAGCATTTCAGAGGCAGAGCCAAGTGGATCTCTATGAGATCAAGGCCAGCCTGGTCTACATAGTGAGTTCCAGGCCAGCTGGGGCAACAGGGAGACCCTGTCTCAAAAAGACAAAGCAAAAAAAGGAAAGCATAACCCACACAGTGGTGGTACCCCACAAATGGGTAGAGTTCCACAGAACCTAACAGCATAACCTTGGAGGTGCGGTCGTCCTTGAGCTCCCTTGAATGTCCGGATAGGGACAGAGGGAGGGACTGGCTGCAGGAGATATAAGAAACCAGTGCCCATGATGCTGACTCAGTCTGTGCCAGCAGGCTGCTTGGAGACTCCAACTGGCCCTGGCCCAGCTGGTGGGTGGAGAAGGAGGAGCCAGAAGTCCTCCCTAAGAACTGTCACCAGCCATCCTCCAAGGGAATTAATGAGCACCACTCCAGCCCCCTGTGCTGCCAGGCACCCAACCTATCTCCTGGTGGGCCATCATCTCAACCTATGTCTGAAATGCCTGCCTGCCAACCATTAGCCACACCACTGCCCACCAGCGTCTGTGTGTTTCTCATGTCCATGGCTACTAGCAAGATGAGGCTCCAAGAGCAGGAACGGAAGGCATACATCTGGGGCTGTCACCATACTCAGGGCCCTCTCCTTCCCTCTAATGTACAGACTGTAGGGGATGGTGAGCAGGTGTCTGCCACTTGCCCTGCAAGGCCCCCCAAGCCAGTTAGGACTGGGTTCAGGATTTCTACATCCATCAGTCTCTAGCCCTCTGGGACTTCAAAGATGGTAAAGATTCCTCCAACACTTCAGACTACAGTATCATTGGAAGACTTCACCTGTTGAGTCAGTTACTCAGGGCAGAGCACAGAGAAGAATGTGTGTGTCTGGGGGCGGGGGAGGACCAGAAGGGACCTCTATGTCCAGGTTCTGCCCCATACTGACCCTCCAACAGGCCTCAGTGACCACTGCCAAACCTACACAAAGCCCTGCCCAATGCCAACCTCACCATCAACTGTGTTTTTCCTCTGAGTTCCTCAGTTTTGTCTAGGAAAAGTCAAGGTGTTTTAGCACTCCCTCTCAACTTGCAGTGGTGTGATTGGTGTCTTTTACAATTATCTTTTATTTTTATCTAGCATTTCTTAGCTCAGTTGGCAAACTGGATATTTATGCACTTCCATTTCACAAACCGTCCCCACCAATTATTCCTGTGAAACTAATATTTTATTTTTAAAAAAGCAGAGGGGTTTAGAACTATGCGAGGGATGATTATGCAAACAAGTTAACAAGCCACCACCTGGGCCTGTGGTTGCTTCACAAGGCAAGCGAGGAGGAGAGGACCAGACACTGACGGGCACCAGCATCAGCTTCTTCCAGCACCCATCCGACTCAGGCTCTCACCCTCACAAGCCTTTTGATTCAAAGGAGTCCAACGTTCTAGAGACAGAAAGGCAGCCAGCAGTGGGTAGAGGCATGCCTGCTCCCTAATAGCAGGGAGAAGAGAACAGCCTTGGGTGGCCCAATGCTACATTCAGCTCCAAGACTGCCCAAAAGGCATGCAGGCTTGGGCTGGTTGTGTCCACCAGAGGAGGGCTGTTGGCACTGCCAGCTGACGACAGAGTTCTACTCATCCTCTATGCCCTCCACATGGCTCAGAGTCCCTGCAGGTTCAAGTCTGTGTCACTTTCACCCAAAGATACTAAGCTCAAGAGAAACTCCAAAGTCCATTACAGCCACCCAGCAGGTAAAGACCAGGGAAAAGTAACCCAGCCACTGTAGCCTGAGTCCCTTTTGTGACTCTTCCTCACCCGAAAAGCTCCTCCTCACCTCACTGGAGGACCAGCACCCCAAAGGAAGACCACTCACTGGCTCTTGGCATCTCTAAATCTGTACTTCAGAAAGTTGCCCACCTCAGCCCTTAAAGCTTATAGGTCTTTGTTTCTAAAACCAGTCCATTCACAAGGGGAGAGCAATAACCCAAACAGGGACTCAAGAGGTCAGAAATAATCATCACAGGAGCCAAAGGCCAAGAACAAGATACCAGGTTTGAGGATTTCACTCTGCACGTGGCCAGGGTGAGCTAGCTGCATTTAAAGTCGGATTTAAGCACGGCCTCTGTCTGGTCACATCCCAATAGAATTGAAACAAAAGTCTTTCGTCTATAAATAATTGCTGAGCTAAAACTTGGAGACTTCATAAGGGAATCTGCAGCCAGAGGAGACCCTTAGCCCATACTCTTGTACTTCTCTCCCTGCCTGGCCCAGGGAAGTTTGCCCTGTTTTGGCATACAGAGAGGCACACTGCCCACACTGCCCACACTTCCCGGCTTAAAACAAGGCTTGGAGATGCTGGGATCAGTGTTCACCTTCATCCTCTGAACCCAAGTCCCCTTGCCACGCTGTGCCAGCCAAAGGGAAGTGGCCAGGTGGAGGTGCAGGTCCCTGAAGCGCTTCCAAGGGAAACGTGATGTGGAATTTTTAAACTGAGTTTCTCCCCTTGGGCCTCATTATAAAGAGAAAGGGGGGGGGGTGCGGATCAGAGTTTGGTTGCCAGAGGCAGGGAACCCAGCAATGACCCCAAACTCGGGAGTTGCCGCCCAGCACCCTGACTTGGTACCAGGGCCAAGCCGAGCCCCAGAACGCAACAGAATGCACCAGCGGCCGGGACAGACTGGGAGTGGGGGGACCCTAGCGAGTAGCCAGTCTCTCTGGCCACTGCCAAGTAGCCCCTCGCCTCGGCATCCACAACCGCGATAAGCGAGCCTCCAGCTGGTTCCCTCGGTGGCCAACCGCCGGTCAGTGGCTGGGAGGGTCGGTCGGGTCCTGAGAGAGTGCGGCGCTGTTCCGCAGCCCCCCATGTCCCAGAGGCGGCCAGCCCAGCAGACGATGCCCCTCTGCCACTCCGAAGCCCCGCAGGGTACAAGTGGGAGGGCTGGGGCCATAGCATCCGCGCCCCCAATGCGCCCTGACCCCCCAGGCCGACCCGGGTACCCCCAGGCTCCTGCCGCCGGCCAGTCGGTCGCCCCGGGCCCTGCTTACCTGGTGCCGCTCTGGAGCGCGATGCGCCGCCGCCCCCGGCTTGGTCGGCGAGGCCAAGCGCGGGGCGCCGCCGCAGCTCTTTGTGAGCCCGCGCCGAGCCGCACACCAAGACTGCTAATGAGCCCGGGAAGCTGGATAGCGGCGGGCGCGCCCCGGACGCCGCGCGCGGCCCTGCCTCTGCCCAGCACACGCGTCCCGGAGCCCCCGCACCGCACCCGCACCGCACCGCCCGCGCCAACGCCTCTCCGGCCGCCCCCGCTCCTGCTGCGCACGGCCACGCGGGGCAAAAGCGCTCCTAGAGAGACCGCGCAACCGCGCAGAGCCACACAAAGATGCTCGGGCGCGGCGCGGGGACGGTGGCGGGGCGGGCGGGCGCACCTGGGACCTGGTCCTTCCGGACAGGGGTCGGGGCTCGGCTTCCGCGAGCTGCGGCGGCGCCCTGGGGAGCACACAGATTCCCGGGCCCTCCGACCCGCGGGCTTCCGAGCCTTGGGAGTCTAGTCCTCCGGCGGGCTGAGCAGGTGAAAGGATAAGCCAAAGGTGCCCGCACCCTGCCCCCGGCGCCGCGCTGCCCCCTGGCGGGCTCCGGCGCGCGTGCGGCGCGAATGGGGCTGCAGCGACCGCGCCCTGCTTTGCCAAGCCGCCTCCGCAGGAGTCCCTCCGGGATCGCGGGTCTCCGAAGGCCCCTCCCGCAAGGGAGGCCTACTGCGCTTCCCCGCTGCAGCTCCCCAGGGTGTGCTGGCCACCAGGTCTTCTCACCGGGTCCCTGGTGACCACTGCCTTTCGGATACCCGTGCTGCTTTCGCCCAGAGCACAAGGGTGGCTTCCCTCTGGGGCTTTCTGCTTGTTATGAGACGGAGAGGACCTCTGACACTCCCGCAGAGAACCTGCCCCCCCCCCCCCAGTGTGAACAAGCTCTTGAAACCCTGGAGGCCAGGCAGTTGGTGTCACCTATGACCTTTCACGCAGTCTCATACAAAGGCAGTAACCTGCAGGCCTAAGGCTCGAGGTCTGGGCAGAGGGGGAACTCCTTTGCCTCCCTTCAGGCCCCAAATGCCAATTTCATCTGGGTTCCTTTTTTCTTTTGGTAGACTAGGATGAAAACCAGGTGCCAGAAGCACTGATGAGTGTCACAGAAGGAAGAGGAGACCTGGGTGGGATTACAGGAGCTCTTGCTGTCCAGAGTACCCACTGAGACCCTGAGGAGAAGGGCCTGGAGGAAAGCTGGATATGAGGGGGGGGGTGAAACTAGTGAGGACTTCCTGGGGCCTAAGGCCCTCTCCCAACCTTGTCCTTCATCTCTTCTCCTCCAGCTAGTCTTGGCAGAACCCTTTTGTGGCCCAGGAGCCAAAGACAGGAAGCCACAGGCCCAGGGCAGGCAACCCGGACTCCGGATCTTTTTCTCCTCCTCCTTGAGGCAAGTGGTGGCTAACAACCATCTATAACTCCAGTTCCAGGGGATCCAACGCCCTCTTCTGACCTCTGCAGACATTGCATGACATGGGTGCAGTTACATACATGGAGGCAATGCATTCGTACATATAAAATAAAAATAATAAAATATTTTCTTAAAAAGTTAAGTGTGGGGTCCACAAGTATCCATCTGCTCTGTAGTACTGGGAATCACCCCCAGGGCACTGTACACACTAGGCAACCCCTCCATCAATATATGTGTCACTATGGCCCTAAGCCCTTGAGACTGGGTCTCACTACTTAGCTCAGGCTGCCTTGAACTTACCTCCCTTCCGCTGCCTACTGAACGCTGGAGTAACAGGTATGTGATGCCTGGCTCTTGGTCATCTGTTTGTCTTGCCCTAAGGTAGACATACACTATAAGAAATCAGACACCTATACCTAAAGATCTACAGATTACACCCAGGTGTCTGTGTGCAGGATGGGCTATTCCCCTCTGTAAGTGCCCTTGAGCTCTTTCCAGAGTTTGTTGATAGCTGGGGAGGGGATGAAACCCATCCTGGTGCTCAGGAGCAAAAGTGCCTGATATCCACAGGGTCAAAAGTTCAGGGCCCCTCCAGCCTCACTCAGGCCCCCCCTAAATCTGGTGGGATTGAGACAACCCACTATTCAAAGATTTTTAAAAGAATCTTGGAGGGAGAAGGCTTTTCTAAGCATGCTACAAAACTGAAAAGTGATCATTACTTTGACTTCAGAAAAACCCCTGCCTGGGAATCACCTCCATAAACACAACACAAAACCAGGAACAATGTTCACAAATCAATCACAATTAACTTCCCTAATATATAGATAGCATTGAGAAGTATTTTTTAAAGAATGTTGACTGAATTAAAAAAATAAAATGGGTAAGCAGTTCACAGAAAAGGAAATACAAATGACATTTGAGCATGTGTGTGTGCTCATGCATGCAAGCCTGTATATGTCATGATGGGTATGTGGAAGTCAGAGGACAACTTTCAGAAGTTGGTTCTTTCCTTCCACAATGTGAGTACCAGGCATTGAACTCAGGTTATCAGACTTGGAGGCGGCTCCTAAGCCATGTCACTGACCCACAAATGACTTTTAAACATCTAAAAACAAATGTCGACTGGGAGAGTCATTCCCACAGGGCAACACTTGCACAAAATACACAAGAGCTTGGGTTCATCCCCAGCACCACAAAAGACTAATGAAAATAAAGCAAATTAAAACTATACTGAACTAAGCAGGACATGGCAATGCATATCACTCAAGAGGCAGAGGCAGGCAGATTTCTGTGAATTTGAGGCCAGCCTAGTCCTGGAACCTAGTAAGTTCCAGGCCAGCTGGTACTACAGAGAAACGCTCAAAACAAAAATAAATAAAAACAAACAAAACAAAAAACTACATTAAACTGTCATTGCTTTTGTCTGTCAGAGACTCAGAATATCAGAGTATGTTCCAGAAGGCAAAGAGAAACTAGCAGACTCTCTCACTGCCCACAGGAGTGTAAACTCTGTGATTTCTATAGTGGACAATTCAACAACTCCTGGTAAAATGTTGCCTGTGCATGCCTTGTTACTTTCCATTAGACAGCTTTCCGTAACAAGTACCTAAGACCTTACTTTTTCCTCATAAAATGCATTTCATTTATATAATACGTTGAAACAAACATCTCTTAAACAAAGATATTTTCCAAACAAAGGAGATAAAAATTTTAATGGTTCCAAAGTTTGTTACATCTATTCAGGTTTTTTTAAATTATTTATTTAATAACCACATACTTAGAATAAGCATTTCATTACATCAGCATTGACATATTCAATAACAATTTTCTGAGCTAGGCTGCATATCTTACAAAATTGGCTGTACATTTTTAGGTTTACAGTTGAATTATTACAATTATACAATATTGTACTCAGTATAAACCCTATAAGACATAAAATTAAATTAGGTTTTAACCTTTAAAAAAGTTCTCCATTTCATTATTAAAATAAAGAGTTTCATGCAGAAAACTTCGATGATTAGAAGAAGCAGTTCACTACAGCTTTAACATATTCAGTAACACACTCCAGAGCAAGAGTACATCTCTTTCACAAGTGGGTGCAAGTTTCCAGGTTCACAGTTGAATTAATATATATATACTGAACTCGGTATAAGCCCTGTAAGACATAAAAATTGGATGAGTTTTTAACCTTTAAAAAAGATCTCCATTTCGTGCTGGGCATGGTGGCACATGCCTTTAATCCAGGCACTTGGGAGGCAGAGGCAGGTGGATCTTTGTGAGTTCGACAGTACATCTCTTTCACAAGTGGGTACAAGTTTCTAAGTTCACAGTTGAATGAATATAGTATAAGCCCTGTAAGACATAAAATTGGATGAATTTTTAACCTTTAAAAACAATCTCCATTTCATTTTAGAATACACTGTTCCTTGCAGAAAGACTTGTTTTTGCTACCAACACTGAGATGTTGGTGCTTGCATCTCTAATCTATATGTATCTGATTATTACTAGTCACAATCGGTTGCACTTGGATCCTTGGAGCCTGTGTATGTCTATAAAGTCAATGGGCAGATTTCAATGGTATTGTTTACCACGTCTACTCATTAGCAGGATGTAAATTTCCATGCTCACTCCTCAAATATAATACATTTTTTAAAAATTTGTTGATTTTTTTATGTGTGTGAGTGTGTATATCACACAGAACATCCCAAACCAGCTCATTCAGGTATACACCCACTTCCCAGATAGCACGCTCCCATAGCCTCCCTCCCTCCACTAGAGCCCTTATACTCTGATATCCCTGCTAATGTCTGCTGTGTTGTCAACACCCCAGCGAATCCCCCCACCTGCCCTTCTCATGGATCTAGTCAGCCTATCTAGAGGTCTTTGTTTTAGGAGGGTCAGCTGTTCCAATTCTAGCAGTGATCAGTTGTCAATACTCCTCAATATAAGATTAGGGTCTGCTGTTCATTTTCCCAGTTCTACACTGGGTTACTATCTGGGAATCCCTTTGGCCACCCTGGCCAACAACTCAAAAGAAGGTATTGCCTGTCTGGCGTTGTTGCTTGTTATGTAGCCTTTAACTATGCATATGGACTCTTAAGAAATTATATTGGCCCCTTTAATCTTTGGTTATATTTTCCTTTTGGGAGGTTAAGGCCATACAGTTGGTCCAGATAAACTGATTTATGTTTACTCTTAAGGTGGCTTGAGGATCTGTTCCTCAGGGGTCACATGGGCTTGGGAGGAGCCCCTGGCTCCTTTCTTTTACCAGTCCCACCTATATGAAGACAAGTCAAAGGTCCTGCTCAACAATGACTGGCTTCACTTGGAAGCATGGAGGAAATG